ACTTTGTGCCTTCGTTCTCCTCCTTTAGATGTGCAGAAACAGTACGAGTGTGCTAATTTTGGGGAGCAGGGGATCACTGTTGGCTGCTGGGACGTTTATCGGCACGACATCGACTGCCAGTGGATCGACATCACCGATGTCCCCCCCGGGGATTACCTCTTCCAGGTGGGAGAAACAGCATTGGTGACACTCCTACTGCTCTTACCTTACCAATCATACCCAGAATTTACCCAATTTGCTCATCTGACACCTCCAGTTTCTGTTTATAAAGGGATTATATTCCCAGATATCTCAAAGATAAAGGATTATCCACCAGGATAATCAATGCAAGCTCACAAGGGGAAAAATGAGGGTCCATGAGCACAGTTTGGAGATAAAAGTCTTTAAAAAATCCAGGTCCAGCTAATTCTGGATAGGCCCAGCCCAGCTGATGTTGTTGGCAGTGTTGTCACATTCCCAAAACACAGCATCCCTCTTTGGAGCTGGTTGGAAGCAACATTTCCTGAATTTTGGGATTAAACGGTGCCATTTGTGGGGTTTTTGTAGGAATGAGGGCCAGGTCTCCAGTCCATGCCCATGGGGGGAATTCTCTGTATCCAAAACCAGCCCCTGACACTGGAGAGGAGGGAAAGAAGAGCAGTTCTCTCTGTCTGAGCTGTGGGAAATGGAAAATGGGGATTTGGAGGGAGATTTGGGGGCATGGGGGAAGTATGGCTATGGTGAATTAGAGATGGAGGAGCTCTGCTGGGAGGAAAGGCTGAGGGAAGTGGGAATGTTCCCCTGGAGAAGGGAAAGCTCCAGGGAGAGCTCAGAGCCCCTTGCAGGGCCTGAAGGGGCTCAAGAAGAGCTGGAGAGGGGCTGGGGACAAGGGATGGAGGGACAGGACACAGGGAATGGCTCCCACTGGGAAAGGGGAGATTTGGGTGTGATATTAGGAAGGAATTCTGGCTGTGAGAGTGGGAAGAGAAGCTGTGGCTGCCCCTGGATCCCTGGAAGTGCCCAAGGCCAGGCTGGAGCACCCTGGGACAGTGGGAGGTGTCCCTGCCATGGCAGGGGTGGCACTGGATGGGATTTCAATCCCTACCAACCCAAACCATTCCAGGATTCCCTGACTGAGGCTCCATTCCCTGATCTGGCTTTATTCGAGTCATCTCTCTCTTTCCAAAATAAATTGTATTTTCATCTCCTGCTATTAAAACACTATCAAAACCCAAACTGATTCTTCCTCCTGCCAAATCCCCTTTTCAACAACCCCACCCTCATCCCTCCATCCCTTCCAGGTCGTGATCAACCCCAACTACGAGGTGGCAGAGTCAGATTATTCCAACAACGTCATGAAATGCCGGAGCCGCTACGATGGGCAGCGCATCTGGATGTACAACTGCCACATAGGTGAGGGCTGGGAATCCTCCAGGGATGCTCCAAGGATTCCCCTTACACCAGGAATTCAATGTTTCCCCCTCATGAAAAGCTCTGGTGCAATCCCAGTGCTGGCACAATCGGCCTGGGAAATTCCTTCTTCTCAAAAATCAAATTATTTTGCCAAGCTGGGATCTCTTTGGATCACAAAGCTTCTCTTGGAAAATGAACAAAGCCTGGAAAAGAGCCCGCTGTGCCAGGCAGGAATTAAAATGTCCCTGGAATGTCAGGGAAATCTGTTTTCTTGGAAAAAATGTAAAATATTCTCATATTTTTGGCCATGGAAATATCAAAACCAAACTAATTTAGATTTGGCTTAGTTCATTATCAAAACCATTTCTAAATGGAATCAACTTGGAGGCTTTTTAGGACTGGTTTTACCACAGAAAATGAATTAACACAACTCTCAGCTCCAAATAAAGCTGTCTCTGAAAATTCCCTTCTTCAAGGAATGTTTTTCCTAGGGGAAAAAAAAAACCCAAAAACACTTAACCACTGATTTTTCTCATTACTTTGTTGGGATTTTAGCAGAAAATTCTCATCTTGTGTGTCACATTTCAGACTGTGGCCTAGCTGAGGGAAGTGAAGCCCATTGCAGCTGTTGCATGGGTTCTGCAGCTGAGCCAGGAGATATTTGTAATTAAAAACAAAAGGTTGAACTTACATTTTGTCCTAATTCGAGAGAAAGGAGGGTTTGGTTCTGGTTCTGAGCAAACCAAGGATTTGGTTACAAATTGAGCCCTCACAGGCCTCACTAGGCCTTGCTTTAGTTCTGTGGTTTTAGGCACCAAAGTGGTGAAATTTGGTGATCTTGGTCTTGCAAATCTGCAAAAAATCCCAACCCAGCCCTGCTGGGGCCTCCAGGCTGTGCCAGGCAGGGCAGGATTGAATTAAATTCATTTAATTACCCCAAACCTTTAAGGCCTTCATTTCCAGGGCCCTGGATCCACCCAATCCCCGTGTTCCTGAGTGTTTTCCCTGTGCTTTCCCGTATTCCCAAGTGCTTTCCCATGGTCTCCCGGTGTTCCCAAGTGTTTTCCTCATGCTTTCCCAGTGTTCCCAAGTGTTTTTCCCTGCTCCTGTGCTCTCCTGGTGTTCCCAAGCATTTTCCTGTGCTCTCCTGGTGTTCCCAAGTGTTTTCCTCATGCTTTCCTGGCATACCCAAGTGCTTTTCCCTGCTCCTATGTTCTCCTGGTATTCCCAAGTGCTTTTCCCTGTACTTTTCAAGTTCCAAAGTGCTTTTCCCTGCTCACCCTGTGCTTTCCCAGTGTTCCCAAATTTTTTCCTGTGCTCTCCCAGTGTTCCCAGGTGTCTTCGTGTGCTGTCCCTATGTTCCCAACTGTTTTCCTGTGCCCTCCTGGTGTTCCAGAGTGTTTTTCTCTCTCCCGGTGTTCTCAAGTGCTTTTCCCTGCTCCGGTGTTCTTCTGGTGTTCCCAAGTGTTTTTCCCATGTTTTCCCAATGTTCCCGAGCTTTCCCTGTTCCCAAGTGTTTTTCCCATGTGCTTCTGGTGTTCCTGAGTGGTTTTCCCTCTCCCAGTGTTCCCAAGTGTTTTTCCCATGCCCTCCTGATGTTCCTGAATGTTTTTCCTATGCTTTCCCAATGTTCCTGAGCTCTCCGTGTTCCCGCGTGTTTTTCCCTACTCCAGTTCACACTGTGCTCTCCCTGTGGCCTCTCCAGGTGGTTCCTTCAGCGAGGAGACAGAGCAGAAGTTCGACCACTTCAGGGGACTCACAAATAACAACGTGTCAGCCCGGTAGAATTCCCACTAATTTAAGGAAGCCAGGCTCCAGCCCTTCCCGAACCACTGCACCCCCAGGAAATCAAGCCTCATTCAAACTCTGAATTTCAGGTGAATCATTCCTGAAGAAGCCTCTCCCTTCCCAGTTTTTTAGGTGCTCCTGCAATTCCAGCCCCACTTCTGGTGGGAGCTTCCAGCTCTCCTCAGCTCCAGCTCTTCACCATTCCAAAGATTTCTCCCGCACTTTGCAGCACTCCTCGCCTCAGGTTGGGTGCCAGCCACCCAAAATTGCCTTTATCCTTCATTTCCAAGGGGTTAGTTGGGAATTTTCAGGTCTTTTCCACTCCCAACGCCTCTGCTCGTGCTGCTGCTTCCTGTGCTCAGCTCCAACTCCAGCTCAGCAAGGAAATACAAGGAAAGGAAGAAGAAAAAAGGTAAAAAGGAAAAAAAAGGAGCAGCTTTTTGCGAGCAGAACAGTGTAAAGCTGAATTTAATACTGCAGTGAAACGCTTGGATCCAACAACCACCCTTCTGGAGGGGAGCAAACACAGAACATGGAATTTCACATGGTATTTCACATGGAGCCAAAGCTCCCCGAAGCAAGCCCTCAGCACCCAGAACTCGGCAGATTCCGAGGGATGAGGCCTCTGGGCTGGAAATTCCCATCCCAACAGGTGCTGTGCCCATCCAGGAATCGCCTCCTGCCGGGATACTCCATTTTTTTTTTTTTAAAGGATGAATTAGCCAGGGTGTCGTATCCTTGTGCACCTTGCAGAGGGAATTCCTGGCTCTCATGCCCAGGGATCTGCTCCTGAGGGAATTCCCAGTGCTCCTCTGTTTGTTTGAGGATACACTTTGCTACAGAGCTCCAATAAAAACCTTTTCCCTGGAAAAAAAAACAACCAGAAATCCCTTCAGAAGCCCTTGGTGTATTTCTCTTCACAATTCCTGGAAGTTTGGGGATTTTCCCTCTTTTCTCCAACCAAAGTCATCTGGAATTCCAGCTGATTCCACAGGGGATTCCAACTGGCTGCAAACTTCCCCAAAACCCCACCTCACAGGGATTGTTGTGAGGCTTAAAAATGCAGAAATATTTGGAGTTTTGGTCATTTCTCTGCGGTGCAGAGGGCAGCTGGCAAAGGGTTTTAACCTCCTGGTCATCAGAAAATTCCATTTTTCCCTCAGAATTCCAGACTGGAGCACAAGCAGAGCCTGGATAGGGTTGGAAGCTCATTTTAAACCCAGCTCTGGGCACATCAGCACAGACAAATTCTGGAGTTTTTTCTTCCCCCAAATGAGCAGATCCCAACTTTCCTCACCAACGGGGAAGTTCAGGCTCTTGAAACTCTGTAAATCAGGAAAAAATTCCCTAAAACCTGGATTCACTGCCTGTCAATTCTCTGGGATATCCGAACAGCAATGCTACAACAAACGTGGAACAGATTTTTGAACTCCTGCCCTTGCTTAAGAGTTGAATTTTGGCCAAAAAAATTTTAATTTTCTTAACTCTTAACGCCTTTGTTTTGTTTTTTGGGTTTTTTTTTGGTTTGGGCGGGGTTTTTTTTGTTTTGTTTTTTGTTTTGGTTTTTTTTTTTTTTAAACAGAGCAGGAATAAGGAATAAATAAACCACCTCATTCCTGAACAACAAACCTTTCCCATTCCCAACTTTTCCAAGCCGGTGCCGATCCATAAAGGAAGAGCCCCGTGGCACTGCCTGTTCTGCATGCATTTAATAGCGCAGCCATGCTCATCTTTACAGCCTTTTTTGGGGTTTTTTTGGGATTATTCCTCCTGATCCAAAGATTCTGGTTGGAAAACTTCAGTCCCTGCGGCTTCCTGCTGCCTCTGCTTCCAGCCCAGGGCGTGGGACACTAGTCTCCTGGCCACGGCCGTGTCCGTCTGCGGCCTCTCTTTTCCCAGATGGAGAAGTTCTAGGGAAAAACGGGAAAAATTTATCCAGCTGGGCCTTGGTCAGGGAGAAATCTGTGGTTAAATCGTAAAAATCAGCTTTTTTTTCTTGCTGTTTTATTTGTTTATCAACATCAAATCTTTCTGTCTCTGTGAATAAATTGTTGGGGTTTTTTTTTCCAGGAAGATGGAATTCCATGTTTTGCGGTGGAATTGTTTGGTCGCCATAAAGTTTCAGGTCTTTTCTGCTGTGTGGAAAATTGTTGCCCATCCTCTTCCAGGAATTATTCCTGTAAAAATTCCCAACATCCCATCCCTGTGAGAAACCCAGGCAATTTATCCATTTATCCATAAAGCTTGATCCCAAATTGAAACTCCTCAAATCCAGCTGCTGAAATCCTTGGAAAACAGCAAGGAAAAAAAAAAATCTGCATTTTAAATTATATTTAAGTATTTCAGATGACTTGGGAATCCCCTTGGTCAGTGCCTTCAGTTTTTTTGGATTGCTGCAATTCCATCTACAAGGGATAAATTAATAATTAACAGTAATTTGGATTTGGGGGGGTTCTGCTTGTTTTTACAGAAGTTTCATTCATTAAAAAAAACCTAAAAAATTTAAAAAGAGACACTGTCAGCTAATTAAAATCCAGATTTGTATTTGGAAAAAAATCTATTGAAACTGGATACCAACAAAATTTATGTTTAATTCTTATATTTAATTCTTACTTTTAATTTAACCAGATTCAGAAGAGTGAATAAATGAAAAAAACAGATAAAGGGGAGATGCAAATAAAGCGAATTTTTGGATGTTTCCTTTCAATCCAGCAGTGCTGCAAACTGGGGAATTTGTGAGTGTCCCTTGAAAGGGTTAAAATTGGAATTGATTCTGACTGCAGCAAGCTGGAAAATCCCAGGAATTGTTGGTTCAGGGTCTCTGCTGCTGCTGAGGTTTGTGGCTTTGCTTTCCTGTGGCAACTGGACCTGATCAATCTGATTGAAAGGCAATGAAATCAATCAATCAATCATTGGTAATCAATCAACTGCTATTCACGGCTCAGCTTCACCATTTCTCCTTCCTGAATAAAATTATGCCAACCACGAGATCGGGTTTGTCTCCTTTGGATGGTGCAGGGGGAGAGGGAAGAGAAAATTCCTGGGAAATTCAAAAAAAATCCCCATTCTAGCATGGCCCTTCCCTTCCAATTCCCCAAATGAGCAGCATATTACACCCCAAAAAAAAGATAATTAAAAAAAAAATTCAATCTGAATTCCAGCAAAATTCCACAGCCGAGAGATCCATCAGAAACCCAAGAAAGCAGAAAAATATGAATTATGAATTTGGATATGAATTTGTCATCTGTGCCCGTCAGGACTGGGAAAGCAAAGGAATGGGGGATAGATTTTAGGGAATTTGGCCTTACTTGGTCTCTGCAGGGCCTTGATCTTGGATTGTTTGGTGGCGTGGATCAGGGGCCGGATCTTCAGGCAGGGATAACGGCGGCCCAGGGCTTGGGATGCTGCAAGGAACAGGAAAAGCTAGGATTAATCCCCCCAAAAAATCAAATTGTGGTGCAAGAACACTCAGTAATTCCAGTGTTTGCTCAAAAGTTGGATTAAAGCAGCTGAAGTCATGCTGGGCACCTCAGGAAGAATCCAAAAAATAGAAAAAATTGTTCTTTTAAAAGAGTCTTGGCACTTTTAGAGGAAATCCCAAAAAACAGAGCAGAAGCTGTTGGGATACAGGAGGATGGAAACCCCTCCAGGGCTGGCTCTGAGCTGAATTTGGGGTGTTTATTCCTCAAAAAAAATGAGTTTGCCCAGAGTTTTGGTGCCATCCCACTCCCAATGTCCCTGGGAGGTGACTGGATGCTTGTAGGAATTTTTTTTTCTGGTTATAAAAGCCAAAAAAATGGGAAAAAATAAGTGGAAAAACCAGTTTATTATCATTATTTGTAATGTCTAAGAGTGCATCCAGGTACATCCAAGGCAATTAAATTAAAAACAAAAAAAAATTAATTAAAAAATTTAGAAGTTTTCCCATCCTGGAGATTTCAGCTTCCCAAAACCTTTCCAGGATGGAAAGGAACAGGAAAAAAAAAATGGGAGAAGCCAAACAAAATCCCTCTGCAAACTCAGTTCTGATCATTGAGAAGGAGCTGGGAGCTCTGGGATGCCTCAATCCCACCCCAAATACCTGTGGAGAGGCTGGAAAAGATTCCCAGGGCGTGGGTATCATCCACCCACTGGATTTTGAAGCCGCTCTCGCTGCAAGAAACAAGAATAATTTGAATTAATGTCAAGAAAAACAAAGCCCCAGTAAAACCCAGCAGCCCCAGGAAAGGTTTTCAGTGTTTTATGGGGACAGCTGGTGTTTCCCAGAACATTATTTCCATTTTAAATGGGGGAAAAGGGCAGGAAAAGAAGGGAAAAAGGACATTAAATGTGCCCTTTTCAATGCCACAATGTGAAATTACCCCAAAATTCTCCTTTTCCTCCCAAACCCAATCTCAAGTTTCAGGGATTGGCTTCCAGCACCAAAATTTTGTCATTTTTGAAGTGTTTCCCAGGCAGAACAATAAAAAACAAGGGATTTATGAAGTGGGTTTGGGGTGAAAAATCTCATAAAGGGTCAGTGGAAAATGGGAATTTGTCAGCAGGAATTCAAAGCTTTCCTGCAGCACAAGAATTCCGATCCACTGTTCCGCTGGATCCATCCTTTTCCAGCTCTGCTTCACTCCCAGAGAATGGGAAAATAAATGTGTGGAAGCATCCCCAGTACAGGAAGAATTATTTAAAATACAGTTTTAAGGAATGATTTAAAGAGAATTTTAAAACAGAATTTATTTGGTTTAATTTAAGGGATTTGTAGAGGGAATTTTTATATCTAATCCAGGAATTATCCTGAGAGAGGGGGAGGAAAACAGGGGAAGAACTCAGACCTGGACCCAGCTCTGCTCTCACCAAAGAATTATTTAAAATATCATTTTAAATAATAATATAATTTAAAAATGTAATTATTTGGTTTAATTGAAGAGATCTGTAGATGGAATTTACATATTTAATCCAGGAATTATCCCAGCAGAAGAGGAGGATGGAGGGAGGGAGGGAGGGAGGGAGGGAGGAAAACGGGAGGAACTCAGAGCTGGACCCAGCTCTGCCCTCACAGATGAATTATTTTAAATATAGTTTTAAATAGTAATTTAAATATAATTTTTAAATGTAATTATTTGGTTTAATTGAAGAGCTCTGTAGAGGAAATTTCCATATCTAATCCAGGAATTATCCCAGGAGAGGAAAACAGGGAAAGGTGCCTTTTATAGGAGTGAGAGGAACTCAGAGCTGAGCCCAGCCCTGCCCTCACTGACCTTGGTTCTGCTTCTGCCTCCAATCCAACCTCATTCCCTGGATTTCCCAGTTTTATCCCCAGGATGGAGCCCTTTTCCTTGGAAACTCTGATGGTTTCACTCAGGAACCACAAAAACATCTACAAAGCACCTGGGTGAAGCCAGGCTGGGCCTGGCTGTGGATACCAGGGGGTTAAAGCCAGGCTTTAAACCTGGCCTAAACTGCAGGAACAGCCCCTCTGAGGCACACCAGGAGGGGAAGGAGAAACTTAAATGCCAAATTTTGTTGCCAATCCCAGGCTGACTCTGCTCCCTGGCCTGCTGAGGCTCCCAGGGCGTCACTCACTGGAAATCAGAGAATATTCCCATCAGATCCTCGGTTCTCAGGGATGAGGGGAAGTCGTAGATCTCGGTGACGTGGCCCAAGTCCCCCTCGCAGACCTGGGCCTCTCTGTAGCCGCAATAATCCACGCTAATCCTCTCGATGCTGATGTCCTTCACTGTCAAATTCCCAACGATCTGGGGAAGATCCAAAGCAGGAATTAAAAATTAAAGCAACAAGCCAGGGTTGAGTTTCACCCCCTCAGAGCCCAATCCTCACCTCGGCCACTCCAACCCTGCTCTGCACCACCCAGGACGTGCAATCTCCTCCCAGGCACTCATTCCTTCCCCTCTTTTCCCGATTTTTCCTCCAATCACCTCTGCCAGGAGCTCTGCTGTGCAGTCATCCTCGAGGCCGCTCTGCCTCATCCCCTCTCTGTCCCCCGCAGCCAAATCCAGGCCCTTCCACAGTGCCTCGGCCACATCCGAGTGCTCCTTGTCCTCCTCCATCCTGCCTCGGATCTGCACTGGAGCGCCAGCATCGCCACCAGGGAACGGCTCGGGAGCAGCCGGAGCCTCACCTGGGCCTCCCACAACGTTCTGGAATGCTGGAAGTTCTGGAACGTTCTGGAGAGGTTTCTGCTCCCCCTGGGCAGTGCCAGGGCTCTCCAGCGTGGAAAAGCTCCAGCCTCCCTCCTTGGTGTTCCTGGAATCCCAGTCTCCAGGTGGGGATTCATTCCTGCTGCTCTCCAGGCTCTGGATTTCCAGCACCGGGGACTCTGCCACAGCCAGCTCTGTCTGGCTGCCACTGTGGTTTTCCAAAGGGAAGGAGCCTTTCCCATGCTCTGACCCTCCGGAATCGCAGCTCTGAGGGTTTTCCTCTTGGAATTCGCTGCCTTCTGGAATGACTGCGTTGGCACGGCCTGGCTCTCGCTCTTTGGGTGGGTGTTTGTTGTGTCCAGAAGATGGGGAATGGGAACAGTCTTTATCCCAACATTCCTGCTCACAGGAATCCTTGCTATTCCCTAGGGATGCCTCCTCTTCCTCATACAGAGGATGCTCGGCGCCACCTTTTTCTGGAACATTCTCCTCCTCAGGCTCCTGCTGCTTCCCGGGGCTGCCTCCATCCTTGCCCGCCTCCTGCTGGGTGTCCCCGACGGAATTTTTGGGGCAGTTTTCACCTCCTGGAGCGGTGTCCCCATCCTGCTCCGCCCCGGGGCTCTCCCGCTCCCTCCAATTCGCCTTTTTCCGGATCCCTTTGGGCACGTACAGGGCTTTGTCTGGCTTCCTCCTGGGCGGCCTGGTGATCCTGCCCGAGCCCACGGCAGCACGGGAACTGTCACCGTGGGTGTCCCCGGGGTGGCGTGGCCGGACCCCCCGCCCCCCCCGGCCCCAGGGCTGCGCCAGCCGCTGTGGCCGAGGGTTGGCCCCGGGTTTTTGGTCGCTCGTGGTCTCGTTGGGAAGCCTGGGAAAGAGGGGATAAGGAGAGGTGAGCGGAGGAAGCCCAGGGATGGGGGGTGGAAAAGGAGGAGAAGCATCAAATTCACAAAGGGAACTTGTTCTGTAGGGTCTGGGAAGTGCCGTCGGTATTGGAGACCTTAAATGGGAAACGGTGACTTCGTGCTTGATGCAAGGGCTGGGAGAGCTGGGAATGTTCACCTGGAGAAGGGAAAGCTCCAGGGAGAGCTCAGAGCCCCTGCCAGAGCCGAAAGGGGCTCCAGGAGAGCTGGAGAGGGGCTGCGGACAAGGGATAGAGGGACAGGACACAGGGAATGGCTCCCACTGCCAGAGGGCAGAGATGGATGGGATATTGGGAAGGAATTCCTGGCTGGGATGGAATTCCCAGAGCATCTGGAAGTGCCCAAGGCCCGGCTGGACAGGGCCTGGAACAGCCTGGGACAGTGGGAGGTGTCCCCAGAAGGTGACAAAGGGTGGCACTGGGAGTTTTGGGTCCCTCCCAAACCATTCCAGGATTCCATGGCCGTTGTCAGCCCCAAGGCAGGGGAGCACAGCTCACCTGACGGCCGAGTGACAAATGACTGTCCTCCTCCTCCAGCCCTCTCCCACCGAGAAGCTGCTCAACAATTCCATGTTTTCCACAGTGCGATGGATCAGGTACCTGAGGCGGCTGGGCAGGGGCGGGAACAGGAGCACCCTGAAAGGAGACACGGCTCAGGGCATCAGAAACGTGCAGGAAGGGATGGGAATGCTGGAAAAATCAAACAACCTCGTCCCCAAGTCATTCCCAGCATGGGATTTAAATCAGAAAAACCAGCCAAGCAGGATTTGATGGTAATGAAGAGCACAAATCCCTTCCCAGATTTGCAGCCAGACACATTTTACACATAAAACAGAGCAAGGGGAGGCTGGGAATGCCTGACCCCAAGGCCTGGACTCGCATTCCTGCTGTATCCATATGGGAAAGGCTGGGAAGCACCAGCAGAAAGCTGCTACTGATCCCCTTCCTCCAGTCCCACTCCAGAAACCAGGATTAACCCAAGACTGGATAAACAAACCCCACGTTCAGTGTCACTGCTGTCATTTGTCCCCGAGTGTTTGACAACTGCACAGGGAATTCCTCTGCCAAATGTTTTATAATAAAATAAAAAAGCACTGAAACAAATACTTGGTCACAGCGAGCTGGCAGGGAGCTGAGCTCAGCACTGCCCCTGCTCCTGCCCAGCACCCTAGGGTCAGCTTCTGGGCTGGGAGCAGATCCAGGTGGAACCAGGCTGAGCAGTAAAAGCCACAAAACTCTGCCTGAAGGTGTGGCTGGAGGAAGGGATCCCACACCGAGCCCAGCACAGGGAGCTCCCCAGGCAGACCCCAAATGCTGCTGCTTTCACCCCAGGAAAACGAAGCAAAGCCTGAGCCACAGTCCCAGCATGTCCCTGCAGCTCCCAGGGGCTCCCCCCAGGCCAGGACCCACCGCTGGTGCTGCCCCTGCAGCAGGAACTGCTCCAGCTCCTCCACGATCCTGCCCACAAACTCATCCTCGCTGGGCGACAGGAAAACACCGTCCATGGAGAGCAGCGGGGAGCCTGGAGGGGCACAGGGACACTCCTGGGGGACAGGGGCACACGTGGGGGGGGACAGGGACACTCCTGGGGGACAGGGACACACGTGGCGGGGACAGGGGCACATTTGCGGGGCACAGGGACACACCTGGAGGGGACAGGGACACAAGTGGGGGGGACAGGGGCACATTTGGGGGGGGTGGACAGGGACACACGCTGGACAGCCGCAAACCCCCGCCCATGGATGCCCAGCGCCCCTACAAATCTCACCCGCTCCCCCGTGCTGGCCCCGTGTGCACCTCGTTATCCCCCATCCCAAAATCCCCCATCCCCAGCCATTCCCAAATCTCCCTGTCCTGCCCATTCCCAGCTTCTCTGCACCCCTCTATCCCCCTTGCCTGGGCACCCCCATCCCGATCTCTGCATCCCCTCTCTTCCCGCTGCCCCCCCAGCGCCACGTGCCGCCTCTAGTCCCCATCATCATCATCATCATTATCATTATCATTATCATCACTGCCCCCACCCCCGAGGCCCCCATCACCCCCCTCCCCGGCCCCCCCCCACCCCCCCTCTCCCACCCCCGGGGCCCCCCCC